AAATTTAAATTGTGCTTATCTTTATTACATATTGACATTGGGGTTAATTTTTCTTGCAGGTAGTGGGCGATGATGATGAACAGTTATTCCATGTGCAAATCGCAATTGAGAGAGTGTGTTATGAGAACCAAGGTAAAGAATGTGGGCTTTTGTGGTTCTCCTAACCCATTGGCATGACCCGGTTTGTGCTACTTTCAATTTTGGCCTTTGGATAAATTGGATGGTTGAGATTAAAACTTGGCTAGATATTTTTGTTGGCTTGACTTTTGGTCTCTGCTAATTCACGTGAGTTTGGCTTCCTTTATATTCTTCCTCTTCTCTCTTCTTCAAATACGCTCTCTCTGGTCCATTTTCTCTCTCCTCTGTGGTTTTCATCTTTCCTCTTCTTCCTTGTACCAAAATCGACCCAGTAGCCCATTTGATTGAAGATGGTATTTTTCTTTAGCCTGAAATAGTGGAAAAGGGTGTTGATTTCTCTGTTGGCTTTAGGTCCGATTGTTGATAGGAATTTTGGCTATTTTGGGAGATCTCTTGATCGATGATCCATCCCAAGTGAGGGGATGTTCTGGCCGGTTCTCTAGCTCTCTCTGGAAGGTGATTTGCATGACATGGAAGGCTATTCCTGAGCCTAGACATTTCAGCCGAAAATCAGAGGAAGAACGGTAAAAGAAAAGTAGCATTCTGCTGTTGGTTTCTGTCTCGTTTATGTTCAATGTTTTCAGTTTCTATGGTTTATGTTTTCTGTCGATTTCTCCATGTTATGATTATGCTAGATAACATTGGTGTATGCTAATTTCTATATATGTAATGTATGCTGGTGATTATTGAACTCTGTCATAGATCGCTGTATCTATTGGTTATTGAGTTCGGTTATTATGTTGTTAACCCAACCTCTGCTGAAATCTGTTTATGCTGCTGTAAATTCCGAACGTGAGGGACTACCATCGCGCTCCACATTCCCAAAGTCGGGTTTTACCTGTTAATATCTTAATAACGATTTGAGCAACATCGGCAAACCATTCAGATACACTGCAAATTGAAATATTTTAAGATGTTTTTGAAACATAAAAGCATAACTGACTTGAAGTGGACTAGACAGAGAAGTTTTCGGGACAACTTGGATACATATTCTTATCTGAAGAACTTACCTATAAGGATCTATTTTACTTGCAGAACTGCTTCAATAGCTCTACCTATGATGGTCTTGATCACTTGATACAGCTTTCGAGATAAGTAATGCCATTGACATGAAAAAAGTATAAAAAAACTGTTGGACGATTAAGTTTTTCGTTTCAGCAAGTTAGAAAAATTGCATAAAAGAAACGCGGAGGAAAAAAATAAAAAATTATGTTACTTCAAGCAAAGACTGAAACTCAAAAAGTGGAAATGAAATGAGAACAAANAAGAAACGCGGAGGAAAAAAATAAAAAATTTTGTTACTTCAAGCTATGACTGAAACTCAAAAAGTGGATATGAAATGAGAACAAAACCTGTTGAAGCCCCAATGGATCCAATGGCATTCGCCCTTGCTCAATCTCTTCCGAGAAGTATCAAGGAAGAAGAAAAAGGAAAGGAAAACATATAATTTGTCATTTAAAAACAATTTTATATATAGTATGACCTAAAGGGATAAAATAAAAAATACATAGTCACTCTTAGCTTATTGGGGAATATTTTATAGAGAAAAAACGGTTGGGAAATTTACACCAATAAACGTGCATACATTATATTCACATGCATGAAATCGAATAAAGTCTATTTCTTCAATTTTGAATCAAAATAAAAGTTTAAAAACTTAAAATAATGACCTCAAAACCAGAAACATGAAATGCAATCGTTATGAATTGGTCGAGGCAAGAGTTTGACTTTTTTTTTCTTAAGACGAATTTGCCTCGCTTCGGTACTAATGATTTTTCAATCGTCTCCCAAGATGCAACGACCAAGTTTCGCAATAGTAGTACTCCAAATTACATAGACGAATGAATTTGAAACAGAATTTTCTCTGTATCAAACCATAATTTTTAATGCAAGAAAAAAAACACTTTACTTTTGATGAAGTGTTTTTATGCCACACAAATGAAATATATGATATGGAATTATGAATTAAATGAATAAAATTCAAACACATGATATTTATATATAGTAGTTGAAAAGATTTGTTTTAAAAGACATGACCATACCAAAAGATACATCTCTTGAATTTATCTCTATATATGAAGAGATACACATATTGAAAAATAATTATACCAAAAGTCACAATATTTCATATGGAAAGACACATCTTTCCATCCAAATAGTTTCTATGTATACGATTTTCCAATAATTCAAATATTTAGGCAACTAAAACTTGGCTTAAATTCTCATTCACCAAATAAAGATTTCCACTTAAATAATCAATTAAAATTGGTCAAAACCAGTTTTCGATGTAAAATTCCAACACAAACTTTAGAGTAGATTTTTGTATTATGGAAAAAAATGTGCTAGCTACTAAGAGTATCTCCAAGAGATTCTTTAAACATGAGTTACTCACTATTTTAAAGAGTCAACATTTAAAATCATACTCTAAAAGACTCTTCAAATTAACATTTTAATTTAGAAAGTGGGTTTGACTCTCCAAACTTGGAGAGTCAAACTCACTCTCTATAGATAAATGCATTCAAAGTGTTTTAATT